CTTAATAAATTATAATATAATTAGAAAAATATGTAAATAATATTATATATATATATATATATATATATATATATATATTTATAATAAATTCTTAACTTATTAGATTTTTACTTCATTATATACAAATTTTTATGAAATATTAAAAACTGATAAAAAATTTTTATAAACTTTGACAATTTTATTAATATCATATTTTAATTTTGCTAAATCTTCTATAAAACTTGGATAAAATATCTAAAACCCTATAGATTATAAAAAAAATTTGATTTATTTTGAAAATGCTATAATATCATTCAAAAACGGTTTCTTATTCGCGAAATTATTTTTCTATCAAAGTATTTTTCACTTAACTTTTGAATAAGATTTAAATAATTTGTATAATTAAAAAAATGAAAACTACGTAAACATATTTAATAATTTTAAAAAATATCACAATTTTACTATTAATACTGAACTTCGTCTTTTGGAATAAATACAAATGATAAGAACTTAAAATAAAAATAATATTTTTTTCACAAATGGAATATCTTCTATTACATAAAGAAGATAAACTGAATGTACTTTTTATAATTTGTAAAAAACTGATATTTTACAAAATACAAACTAAAATTTAATTAATAATAAAAAACAAAGCAATTATTAACATCATTCAAATCATTATTTTTTAGATTATTTTATTTCTTTTCCATCTGTTTTTTCTTAATAAAAAACAAAATTTAATTCTAGTAAAACTTCAGATACTTTTCTTACAAATAAGAGTAAATAAGAAATTTTATAAAAAAATAAAGAAGAAATTATTTAATAAAAGACTTCTATTGAATAAATAGATAATTTGTTCGAGGATTCAAATAAACAAAATAAGTTGAAATTTTAAGAATTAGAATATAAAAATAATTCATTTTTTTTTAAAAAAAAGGATAATTAAATAACTTTAATTTAAAAAGATCATTTTAATTAAAAAGAATAAAATCGTTATTTTTCTAATTAATTGCATAATAATAGTATTTAAAGTTATGAAAAATTAATACTTATTAGTAATAATATATCTTAAAATTCAGATCAATTTTAGCAAGAAAATATTAAATAAAATCAAAATTTACAAAATTAAGAAAAAATAACATAAGAGAAAACATTAGAAAAAATATAATAAAAAAAGCTTGAATAAATATAGGACAATATAAATGAAAAAACAAACGAATAATAATTTTCTAAAACAAATGAATAATAATTGTCCAAAAAAAATGATTAGCTACCAAAAAATATACAAATAGTAAGTGAATAATTACCAAAAGCAAAAGAAATAATATAAAATTAAGAATATAAATTAGTATTATAAACTATAAATGATTAATAACAAATAAAAGAAAATTAAAATAAAGAAGAACATAAAAAAGAAACTACTATGATAACAAAAATATAATCAGATAAATAAAAAATAATATAATAATAAAGCTAAAATGAAATATTTACTAATATAATTTAAATATAAAAAGAAGAAGAAAAAAAATAAGAATAAGAAAATAAAAAAATAAAACAAATCGAATAATAAATAAAATAAATAGAATAATATGATATATAAACTAATCAATAAAATTAACAAAAAATAATAATAAATAATTATTAGACTAAGTTTAACAATAAGTAAAATAAAACTTTTTAAAGATAAAATACTTTTGATATAACATAAAACTTTAAAATAAATTTCGATTAATAAAATAGGAACAAAATATAAAAACAATTCTCTTAAAAAAGTACAAATTAAAAATTTGATCAAATATAAAATAAAAATGATTATATGAAAAATATTATCAATAAAAAACCTAATTTAGAGTAACATTTTAAAAAATATATTATTTTAATATAAAAATATAATATAATAAATAAAGATAATTTTTAAAAGACAACAAAACATATTATTCTTATAAAATAATATTAATAGAAAATATTAAATACAAAATAAATATAAATATTGACAATTAAAACATTATATATTCTTTGTAAAATCTTAACAATACAAATTATCAAAATAAAAAGTAAATAATAAATTTGAAAAATTTCCAAACAATTATTGATTTTATTGAGTATGAATAAATATTACCTTTATACAAAACTTATAATAATATTATAAATAATGAAGATTTTATAAAATATTTTATTTTGCCTTTTTTAAATATAAAATAATAAGATGAAGAGAAAAATATTAATGTAACTTTTTTATCAAAACCAGTTCCTATAATTGAATGGAAAACAACTTTTTTAGGTTAGGAATGCAAAATAGAAATCCATAATATATAATCTAATTAATTTGTTCTAATAATAACATAAATAAATACCAATGATTATATAAAAATAGATTTAGAAATTGATTAAGAATGCAAAAATTAACTTTTTGTTTAATTAGATGATAGTTAAAAACATAATGAATATATAAAAGATATTTTATAATTATGTTTAAATGAAGAAATATAATAGAAAAAACTTATTTTAAATAAATATAAAGAGTAGAATGAAATATAGGTTTTTAGAGAATGTTTAAGTGTATAAAATAATATGGAATTTTAAAATATATTTAATAAAAAATTAAAATATTTGGATAATTTTATTAAAAAGAAATTATAAATTTAAGATTTTCTTATATATAATTTAAAAAAAGTGAACAAAGTATTAAAGATTTATTTTTTTAAAAAAGACTAAATTAAAACTTAAATTTACTTTGGTTATGAAGATTAAATATAGTAATGTTTCAAAATTCAAATATTTAATACATTTAAAACTCATAGTAAAATATTTAAAAAAAAAATAGTTTTTTTATTATTTATTAAAAATTTTAATTTTAAATTAAAAAGAAATTTATAAAAAAAAAGGTCCATATTAAAAAAGGGTAAAGGCATAAGGTAGTATAAGCGTTAAATTTTAAGAAATATGGAAAGAATTTGGAACTGAATATGAAAATTTAAATAAAAACGAAAAATAGATTATAATTAATTTATTGTTTAAATAATATTAATTATATGTTTATGAAAAAGGTATTTAAAATATAAATATAAAAAATAAATAATTATATATAAATAAAAAAAATTATAAAAAATAATAAAAAAGATAAATTTATATATATATATATATATAAAAATATAAATATATATTATATTTATTTATATAAATTTATATATATTTATTTTTAAATATATATATTAAGAATTGTCTGAAGATGATTACGATAGATATAAATTAAATTGTATAACTAAAAAAAATACTGTTTTTGGTTTATATTAAAGATTAATTTTAGAAATTAATAACTATAAATAAATTTTAACTTTTAGTTATTATGGATTTGACGATATTCCTATTGGTATAAAATTAATTTTTTACAATTTAATTAAATGTGAAGAAAAAGGAGTTTTAATATTAATAGACGAATCTTAGTTTAATAAAAACATATATTAATTTTAAAATAAAATTAAATAGAAATAAAAAAAATATAAATTAGATTATAATATAAATTCTAATTATTATATAAAAGATATTTTAAAAAAATTAGGCTGGAAAATATTGCTTGATTAACTATCTATATAAAATAATTACTCATAAAGTAATGAAATAACTATATAATTAAATGAAAATCAAAAGGAACCTAAAAATAGTATAATCTATAATTTCGATTTATTTTTAAACTAAAATTATATAATATAATAATTTAATTAATAATGATTTTTTTTTTTTCCTTATTGTAAATTTTGAGATTAATTTTTATATATTTTAAAATACAACTTATATAATATTTTATTTATTAAAATTATTTTATATTAATTATTTTTATTTATTAAATAATATTAAAAATATATTATTTAAAAATAATTATTTAATTTTTTTTTTTTTAAAATAAACTGAACAAATAGAATTTAATATAATAAATTAATTATCTAAATTATTTACAAATAAATATTAATTAATTTTTTTTGTAATTTATAAATTCAAAATTTATTAAAAAAAAAGATGAGAAAAACTGGAATATTACTTTTTTTTGTTTGATTGAGTTTTAAAATAAAATTAAAAAAACTATTTTAAAAATTATACATTTATATTTTTTGCTTAAACAATATCTCCAATATATTTATTTTTAGCTTCTTTCTAAATAACTTATTCATTTAATAAAGTTAATATAGTAGTTGATTAAAATTTATTAATGAAAATATACCATTTTCAGCTCTTAAATATTACCAAATTTGAAAAATAATAATATTAATATTGAAAAATCTCTTCACCCTACGATGTGATTCCATAATTTTCACAAAGATTCTCTTATTTTTTAATAAAAATAAATACAATTAAGATATAAAAATGAATAAAATATCGCTAAAATAATTAATAAACAATTATTTCTTTAAATAAATCATTAATTTTTTATCAAATTAGTATCGTTTTTTCTTTAGTTGATATTTTATTATAAATTATCAGCATTTTGTCAATTTAAAAATTTATTTAAATCACTTATTTAAAATTAGACTGTTTCTATCTCAGTTTTATATTAAAACTTTGTTGATTCACATTATTTTATTTTGAATATATATATAATTATTATTTTTTAAAGATTTTTTTTAAAATATATTATAAAAAATAATATGATTTTCTTTTATTTTTAATAATTTTTTATAGATTAAAATATATTATTTAAATTACCTTTAATAACTATATATAAATTATATAATAATATGTATTTTATAATAAATCTTATTATAAAAATATTGTTTTTTTTAATAATAAAGAAAAAAAGTATTATTGTAAATTAATATGTGATAATAATTATAAATATAAAATAAAAATTAATAAAATATTATTTATTTAATAAATAATAATAATAATAATAATTATAAAATATAAAGTAAAAAAAAAAAGTTATTTATTATCATAAATAAAATTATTAATCAAAACAAAAATAATTTTAAACATTTTATTAGACTTGATATTGATTAATATTATTAGAATTATAATTATCATATAAGCTACAGCTCTTATCTAAATTAGGTTAAAAATTATCCATATAATATAAATATTAATTATCATTTTCATTAGAACAATTACTTTTCATTTAACTTTCCTAACCACTATATATATTTCTATTTTAAATTTCTTGAATATTTTAAATAATATTAATTCCTTATTAATCTATATTTTATTCATTTTTTTCTAGCAATATTTAATTTTTTAATTTTTATTATTTTTTTTTATAAAAGCTTAATTCTTTTATATCTTTTTTATTTCCTTTATATTAATTACACTCATCAATATAATCCAAAACTCTTATTTTATTAATATTTAAGCAATTTCCAGCATAAAAATCCTCAGGAAGTGATTTTTCCATAAAGCTTTAAACTTAACTATTATCTTAAAACACATTTTAATTATATAAAATCAAAATGAATATAAAGCATCCTTTTCCAGTGATTTTTTCACCTTTTCTAAAATCTAACCAGACAATATTTTTTAACTATATTTCATTTTTTAATCTAACGAAATATCTATCATATTAATGAACTTATCCATATCTTATTTTAGGAAAGATAATTTTAAGTTCAACTTTTTTCCTTATTTATTTAAAAAACAAAAAAACAAAAAAAAATTAAATATATAATATACTTTTTTTTATTACCAATTTGGATTTTAATCATTATTTATAGATTCTGGTTCTTTTATTTCTAGTACCTTATACTATTAATTATATTGTTAATAATCTCTTGAGGTTTATAATTTATTTTCTTTATATTTCTAATTGTTTCTAGATTTAAATAAATACCTTTTTATTACTTTACCTCTTCCCTTTATTTTTAATTATTTTTGAATTTATTTTATTTTTAACTTAAAAAAAAAAAAATTAAATTAATTAATTAAAAAAATACATAAATTAATTATTGTTTTTTTATACTTTTGCACATCTTATTCCAAATTATTACATACATTTTCTGATATTAGATTTTGAAATCTTAAATATTTTAGACGCTTTAATTACTGTCATGTCTTAATTATTCATAAACAAAAACATCATATCATCTATCTTTTATTAATCTATCTATTATAAATCTTATTTTATAACTTTTTCCTTATTTTTTTCTCTTAAGAGTTGTATTATTTTCTGTTAACATAAAGTTTTTATTTTATTAGTTTGCCTAACTTTTTTATTTAAATCATAAATATCTTTATCTAAAGATTCAGTTTTTATCATATAATCTTCTTATATGGGTCGTAAGCTTTTTTATCCACTCATATAATTTTTTTTTTAAATAGTGTTTAAAAAGAAAGTTTTAAATAATATTTTATTTTTATATTAAATTTGTTTTCTAAAAAAATAATATTTATTTAAATAAGAATAATAAAACTATAATGATTATAATAATATTAATTTTTTTTTCAATTTAGTTATTTATTTAATTACATATTAAATTTTAATTTTAAAAAATATATATAATAGTAAATTGATTTTTAAATATATTTTTTTAACTTTTTTTTTAAAAAAATAAATAAATAAGATACATATATTACAATTCAAACAACTAAAAATGAAAAATTTAAATTAAATTTAAAAAAAAATATATATGTTATTAAAAGTTAAACTCTTGCTAGATATATTTTTTGATATATTTAATATATAAAAAAATACAAAATAATTAAATATTTAGTATAATTGCTTTAATAGTAATCATCTTTTAGTATCTATTTTAATTGTTTTAAAATATAAAATAAAAAATTTATCAACTAATTGTACATATCTAATAAAAATTATAATTTGAAAATTTTATTATTTAATTTATATTTAATATTTTTTGACATATATAAATTTAATAGATATAAAAATTTATGTTTTATATTTTTTTTTTTTGTATAAAAATAAAATTAAAATAATTTAATTATGTGATATAATAAGTTATTTATATTGATAATTATTTTTTGGATCTATTTAATTTTGAAAAAAAAAATATACGATTTTTGAATTCAAATAAGAATATAAAATCAATTTTTTTATATTTATTTGAATATATTAAAAATATAAAAAATTAATTTATAATTATTTTAAAACTAAAAATATATAAATTTTAAATATAAAAATATAATTTATTTATAAATTTTTTAATATATTTTTTTTTTAAATAATAT